GTAGAAATCAGAGTTCTCTTTTCCCTAATGGAAGCCCCATGCACGCATGTCTCATGCGTTGGACTTTTAGTTAGAACACCATCTTCACCTGGGCCATCAGCTTCCAAGGTGAGTAGCAATGGTGAGAAAGGACCTAGCTCATTTCAGAAGCACAAGAAGGGCATTTTTTATTATTTATTTCTTTATTTTTAAAGATTTTATTTATTTATTTGACAGAGAGAGTCACAGTGAGAGAGGGAACACAAGCAGGGGGAGCGGGAGAGGGAGAAGCAGGCTTCCCGCGGAGCAGGGAGCCCGGTGCGGAACTCGATCCCAGAACCCTGGGATCATGACCTGAGCTGACGGCAGACGCTTAACGACTGAGCCACCCAGGCGCCTCAAGAAGGGCATTTTTTAATTGACCTAACTACATTAAGCTTCTCATACCTGTTGGATTTGGCTACCAGGTGGTTCGTTGAAATGAAAGCGGGTCCCGCACTGACTTCTGTCATGCATCAAACACTTGTCTTAGGTAGAAGGCACAAGAGCAGTCATTCAGCCTGTTCCTGTGAGTTTGGGAAGTCCCAGCCATCTGTCTATAGGGCACGACAGGTACCGCCAGACAGGTTTACTTGGGGCAGGTACCACAGCATTCAGCAGGATTGACCCCCCTACCTGTCAGATCAATGGCCAAGGGATGGAAGAACCTTCTGAGGAGGCAGCAAATGGTCTATTTCTTGATCTGGGTGGTGATTATTTCAGTATTTGCAAATGTAAAATTTCATAGAGCTGTCTGTGTGCTTAAGACTTGTTCACTTTACTATACGGAAGTTATGCCTCAATAAAAAAGATAAGGGGGGAAATGAATTATTGGCCTTAAGTTGTTCACAGCGTCTGAGCAGGGAAACTGTTATATTTTATACAAGCCCCTTGAGTTAGAGGTTTTCCATGGAAGGGTCACTGGGAGAAGAGAAAGCACCACAGCTCTTTCAGAGGTACCCTCATCATCATCATCCATATACCCCTGAATCAGCGGCCCTGGCCCCTGGCCAGTATCTGTCATCCCTAAGGGCTTTTTACTAGGTCTTCCCCATTTTACTAGGTCAGCACTGTGAAGTCAGCTAGTTGGAGCAGGAGACACCAGTCTTCTGTATGACTCCTCCTTGTTAAGGTCCTCTGTCTTGGGACTCCTGTCAGGGTCTTCCCTCTGAGGACCGCAGGCCAGCCCTTAGGGCCCCCTAGGTTGACACAATAAGTACCTCATTCCACACGACCACCTCATTCCTGGGCCACCTTAGTCTCAGGCCTCTGTTGCCTTCGTGCTCTATTCTACCCTGTTTTAAGTATTTCCTTTTCCCAGAATTTGATCTCTTTTGCCCTTTAAGCCATACGTGGACCGAATTTTAACTAATGATTTTAACTGAATTTCTGATGAGGCTAGGCTGGAAGGTTCTGGGGGATGAAACAAGATCTGTTTCCCTAGGTGATAATCCCAGACTCACTCGGGGATGGATGTGGGAGGGGCTGGAGTCGCACCCTTTTTTTTCCCTGGAGGAGAAAAAGAGGCACTGTGGTACTTCTGGAGGCCTTACCTCAAAGCACCAACTTAAATTATGGGGTTTTGGCCTGCGCCCAGCCCTGGCTCTGGTAGCTCACTCCTCCAAGGTGAACTTTGGCAGAGCTAAGTGATAAAGATGACCCTGTATACCAGTTGCCTCTGGGACAGGGTTACTGTGTTTTTAATTTGGCAGTTTCAGAATTGCTGTGACTCTGTATTGCCCGAGTATTCCTTTCTGCCCCTTCTGCACACGTTACAGACCGCCCGTAGGCCTGCACTCTCCCTGTCAGAGCCTCCGCTTTTAAAGACATGACAAAGACACTGGCGGGCACACACACACAAACCCTTTGTTGGTGTTCCCAATCCACCGTGGAATCGGTTGTCATGGCAACGGCTGCCCCCGCACACAGTTCATCCTTTGGGGTTCCCGTCATGTTTTCTTTTCCCTCTCTTTCTTCAACGGCAACAGCCAACGTGCTATTAAGCCGACTATTAATATACCCGTACAGCCTTTCTTGGCAGTTTTGAACTCGACTACATTGACTTCTAACTTCGGGTCCAATTAGTCACGCCCCGTAAGGGAAGCTAACTTTGCGAAGAAAGAGGCTGGTGTTGGTTTGGTTTTAGTCTTAGTTATTGTTGGATCCAATATGTATGCATACAGAGATTTGGGGGGTTTCTATGAAAGCAACATGCGAATTGAGTTCTCCAGCTACATGTACCTTAGTTTTATTTTCTGACATGATATTTCTCGTTGTCCTGGTTTTAGCTGATGGCTTTAGCATACTCATTTTTTTTTGTTTTTATTTAAATTCCAGTTAGCATACCGTGTAATATTAGTTTCAGGTGTACAATGTAGTGATTCAACACTTCCAATACAGCACCTGGTGCTCATTAGCATACTCGTTTTTAAAGAACTAAGTGTTAATGAAAGGCATAGGAGATTGAGTACTTATAATTAACCAAAGGTTTAAAATAATATCTAACTACCTGGGTCCTGGACAATTATATAACATGCTTCTTTTAAAATTAAGACTATGTGGGGGCGCCTGGATGGCTCAGATGGTTAAGCGTCTGCCTTCGGCTCAGGTCATGATCCCAGGGTCCTGGGATCGAGCCCCGCATCTGGCTCCCTGCTCAGTGGGGAGCCTGCTTCTCCCTCTCCCACTCCCCCTGCTTGTGTTCCCTCTGTGTCTCTCTCTGTCAAATAAATAAATAAAATCTTAAAAAAAAAAAAAAGACTATGTGAGCACTAAGAACCAGATAGATTGGATATATATATTTTTTTATTGTTGTTAACATGTTTGGGAAAGTTACAGAGTTTATTTGAACTTAGTGTGTCAAATAAAAGGCTGGCCTTGGGAAGCCAAAACCAAACATGTTAGTCACCCTTAACTCGGGGCTGTGGATGAAGGCAGTGGTTGAAGGAATGGGGCAGGGCCTCTGCAAAGCTGGCTTACGAGGTGCTTCCTCCTAGTCTTTCTAGGCCGCTCCTCAGTTCTGCTGGGTCCCAGAGTTGGGCAGTAACTGTTATCACCAGGCCCGGCTATTAAAGCGTGCTCATTTCCAACACCAAGGTTAAAGGCCTGGCATCTGGCCTGAATTCAGTCTCTTGCCAGCTGCGTGATTGGGCAAGTTACCTAACTTCTCAGAGACTCCATTGTTTCCTCTCTAAAAGAGAGATAATCTCCTCCCATCAGACTGTCGATTAAATGAGATCATACACTGTGTATGGGAAACTCTTACTATAGGACCTGGCGGTAGGTAGCGTGGACTCAAAGATGATTATTGATTCAATTACTAGGATACTCTAGATGATGTGGGAACTTCTGTTTTCCTTCGTAATTTTGTCACACTTTGTAATAGTGTTTTTAGAAGATGTCTCCAAAACCTTTGGTAGAACAAATCTTCCACCCCATCCCTCTGAAAAAGTTTTTTTAAATTACACTATAATATGGGGCGCCTGGGTGGCTCAGTTGGTTGAGTGACTGCCTTCAGCTCGGGTCATGATCCCAGGGTCCTGGGATCGAGCCCCGCATCAGGCTCCCTGCTCTGCAGGAAGCCTGCTTCTCCCTCTCCCACTCCCCCTGCTTGTGTTCCCTCTCTTGCTGTGTCTCTCTCTGTCAAATAAATAAATAAAATCTTTTAAAAAAAAATTACACTATAATACATATAAAATAAAATCAATTTTCACACATACAATTTAGTGACATTTAGTCACAGTGTTGTACAACTATCACCATTATCTAGTTCTAGAACATTAATCACCCTAAAAGGAAACCTCATAGCCATACCCTATTTCCCAATTCCCCCAGCCCTTGGCAATCACTGCTTGGCCTTGTGCCTCTATGGATTTGCCCACTGTGGTTATTTCATATAAATAGTAACATACATATGTGGTCTTTTCTGTCTGGCTGCTTTCACTTAGCATAATGTTTTCAAGGTTTATCCTTGTTGTATCATGTATCACTATTTCATTACTTTTAATTCCTGAACAATATTCCATTGCATGGATATGCAGTCTTAGTCCATTTGGGCTGCTATAACAAAGTGCCACAGACTGGGTGGCTTAGAGGCGACAGGAATTTATTCCTCACAGTTCTGGAGCCCAGGAGCCCAAAATGAGGATGCCAGCATGGGCAGAGGGCCCTCTTCAGCTTGTAGACTTATTGTATCCTCACAGGGCAGAAGAGGCTAGGGAGCTCTGGGTCATCTTCTTTATAATTAATTCCATTCATAAGGGCTGTGTGCTCAGGACCTAAGTACCTGTCAGAGGCTGCACCTCCTATTGCTATCACATTGGGTTTAGGATTTTTAACACATGAATTTTAGGGGGACACAAACATTCAGACGGTGTATGCTATCTGTTCATCAGTTGATGGATGCTGGGTTGTTCCTACCTTTGGCTACTGCCAGTAGCTTTACTATGAACCTTCTTGTACAAGTTTTTGTTTGAACACCTGTTTTCAGTTCTTTGGGGTATGTACCTAGGAGTGGAATTGCTGGATCAGATGATAATTCTGCTTAGCTTTTTAAAAAACTACCAAACTCTTTCTAACTGTGTTGTACCATTTAATATTCCTACCAGCAATGCCTGAGGGTTCCAGTTTCTTCCAATACTTGTTATTTTCCATTTTTTAAAAAAATTATACTTATCATTTAGCAGGTGTGAAGTGGTATCTCATTGTGGTTCGGGATGGTTTTTTATAGTACTGATTTTGTATGTGTCTGGACTCAAATTTTCTTACTACTGTTCTTAATTCTGGCAAAACTACATGAAAAACCACCTATACATAATTTCCAAGAAAAGATGGGTGTAAAGCATCTTTTCCTTCACAGCTCCTGATATAACTATGCATCATGGCTCTGTAATCTGTACTGTAGACAAACCACTTGCAGACAGGGGCTAATTACAGATGGTGTCTGAGGCCTCTGACCTTCTCTGTAATCCTTTTGCTTTTAGAGATTTCCTCTGGGTCATCCAAAATGCCTTTAAACGTATTGGATAAGAACTGAGCCACCTGCCCGTGTGCGACTTCCGTACTCTCAGCTCCACTGTCTTCTGATGGCATTTTGACTGCATCGAGACCAAGTGACCCACTGCTCATGATGAGTGACGAGAAGAACCTTGGGGTGTCCCAAAAACTGGTCTCACCTTCAAGGAGCATAAGTAGCTGCTCCTCTAAGCAAGGAAGTCGACAGGTAAACTTTAACCAATGCAAATTTTAAGATGCAAATTTATACTAGGAAATTGGCAGATTAAGATGTGTGCATTTACTTGGGACCTCCTGCTTCTAAGTGGAAGAGCGTTGGCTTTCAGCCATATCTTAATTGTATGAGAAGAGTAAACTTTAGGTGCTTTTCATAATGCAGCTTGAGTGCTTACCCGATGGGAAGGAACTGTATTTGGCTCTTTGCATTATTTTATCTGATCCTTGCAACTGACTTCCAACACAGATAGGAATATCCCTATTTTCTCCATGAGGAAGCTGAGTCAGACCAACTGAGTTCTTTGCCCAAGGATACACTGCTAGTAAGTGGCAGAACAAGAAGTCAAAACTCAGTCTAACTCCAGAGCCCACACTTTCCTTTGTACCCTACTAACCAAAACAAAGGAACAGTCACTGTCCCAATAAGTTTAATATCCTCCTGCCCTCTTCTTCCTTCCCCTTCCCAAGCCTTTTATGACCACTTCCCCCACAGATTGCCATGTGGGTGACTTTGAGTCTCCCCTGCTTTCTTTCTCCACCGGATAAGGGAATCAAAGCCACAGAGAAGTGGGCAAAAGGAATTCAGTAGGAAGAAGAAAGAAGTGAAGCAAAGACCTGGATAATTAACTCCTATCTAAGCACCAGCCGTAATGATATGTTGTTTTTCGTTTCTCTTTCTAATACATCTCCGTTGGCAGAATTTGCTGGCTTTAGGTCAGTGGTGGTAAATGCATGTTAATCATTCTAATTCTCTCACCTTCAGTGACGTAGAGAGTGGGCTGTCAGGAAGCTGTGGGTTCCCGACCACAGTGGCCCCTGAGCCTTTTCAGCATCTGCTGGCTTTGCTGGCATTGCCTTTCCCCCACCAGAAGCGCTCGCCCAGGAATTGGCCCCGAGTCCTTGGTTCCAAATTTGGAAGCAATAGTCCGGCAACCTCCCACCTCAGGCACGTCTGCATATTTCTGACGCATTCTCATGCGTCTCTCCATGTGAACATCGCCTGGGACAGGGAGCTTATTCCTTCACAAGGCTGCTTCGTGTCATTAGAATCTACGAGTCTAGACAGATCAGATTTTGCCCCAGCCTGGACATTTGGGGCGCCCTCCAAGATCTCCTGTGAGGGGTTAGGAAGAAAAAAATTTTTAGCACTGTAATCACTTCTGTCTGGGATTTTAAAAAATGACTAAAACTAGTCCTTGGCTAATGCATCGTGGTCCCCTTGGAGTCCTGGCTTCAGAAAGTTGACTATACACTCACCCTCCTTGTCAGCTTTCCACGGGGGTGTTTCTCTCCCTAAGCCGAGATTCTGGTTGGGATTAGAGCCTGAATGTGTGAGCTTTCCCTCACCCTTTGTACCTAGTAGCATCTCTTGCTATGTACTTCTTGGATAAAGAGAAGGAACATGATTCATTTAAACTGCTGGTGCTTATAACACCATAGGAATTGGAGCAGTGCTGTGACATCCTACAACTGAATACTACAGACACTCTTTTGGTGTGTTATTTGAATTGATTGATTTGGTTTTCACAGAGCTTCTTTTGAGCTTGTCATGAAGAGTGAAAGGAATGTGTGTGATGCCTCCATTTTCTTCTCACTTAGAATGGTTGGCCATTCAGCTATTCATTCATCAAATGGTCATCTTTTATATTTAGGATCTCCCACTTTAAGGGACATGTAATGTAGCTTTGTAAACATAAACACTTCTGTGGCAGAGCAGGTGGAGAATTTAATAACTTTATTCCAATCCTAGACTGAATCTAGTTATAAAGGCCGTGTTTAATTTCAGGGACCATTTTCTTATTCTGCCCACTTTCCCATCCTTCTGTCAAAGAGAGGTGTTCTGTTGTAGGAGTGGCTTAGGTTTTCCATCCATATAGTCCACCTTGGCAAGATGTGTCCGTTCTGCCATCACAAGCTGTCCCAAGATTGTCTTTCATTCTCTAAAGGTGCTGGGGAGGTACAGGAACCTTGGAAGTTCAACCTTCATGGCTCCGAGGGAACAGAGCCATACCCCGTGGTCTTGTAGATGCTAAAGAGTGACGCTGTGTTTCCAGTCACTTCACTGGAAAGTACAAGTTCAACACTTAAAACTTCAAGATTTATGGAATAATACATTTAATGTGAGGAATGTTGAACTCTAACTGATAAAGATAATCTGTTCAACAACCTACTCGTTTTTAAAGCTCCAGTTTAAAGTCACTATTAGGCTGTTTTCTTCATTTCATGGTGGGGGCGGGGGATGGATAGGCCTGATGTTGACTGTATTGGACCCTCTTTAATGCTGGTTTTTCTTCTGTGCTTTGGAATTTTGCTTTAGAGTATCATCTTGAGTTTGTTTCCCCATGTTCTTTCTTTGCACTCACCCTGCCCCATTTAGGGATTTGCTATTACCTGCTTCTTACCTCCGAGGACCCCAACCCAGAGTCAGGGGTTATATTTGCTCTTGGGGACTTCTGTTCCATGTCAGTGATAGAACATCCAAGATCCACCACCAGGTCAGCACACATGGCCCAAGTCTGGTTGTGAGGCTGTGTCTGCCTTCTGCCACCTCCCTGGATAAGGCAAGTTTTAAAGCCCCCTTTCATTGTGTGGAGCTCCCCCTCAGCATTTGCTTATTTCCAGCAGTGAGGCTAGCTCAGGTCTCATCCTTTTCCTGTGGACATTTTTAGCCCCAATAGCCCACAGAAGTAGGACTCCTGGACACTTCTGTCTACAGTTTCTTTTGCATTTCTATTTTGTGTTTGATCCATGGAGATATTTAATTTTTTTTTTTTTTAAATCACGAAGACACACACGCAAAAGCCCCTACATCTTTGTAACTTTGTATTTTTGCTGTTTTGGAGCTGGGGCGGTTATAAGAGAGGGGCACTGAACGCACAAACTTTTAATATAGTTTTGGCTGAAAGACCCGGTCATCTTAAGTCATTTTACTTAAATTCTCCTCCAGCATCACTAAGTGACATTGAGATTCTGTGTACTCCAGCCACACTAGCTTTCTTTCAGTTCTTTGCAATGAACTTGCCCTTGTCCTTGTTTCTTGAACTGAATTTGAACTTGTCCTTCCTATCCCAGAGCCTCCCCTCATGAAATCACAAGGAGCTATGCATTTATGTAGAGGTATTCCCTATCTATAGTCTTGTTAGAAGAGCTTGCTTCCTTGAAGGACAGAATGATCAAGAATTGTGATCTGTATCTTTGTTTTTATTTCTGACCTAAGACAGAGTTTACAATTTAGGACCACGAATACCCAAGAAGGGTTCTGTCATCTTTTAGCTTAAATACTAGGGCTTTTGAAATTTAAATATAGCATGCCTCATTTTGTCAGTATGGAAACAACTTGCAAATATAATCTTATCAAGGTAATTTTGAGAGGACTGTATGCATTAGTGATTAGAACTTGAACTCTCCAGCCTTGGTTCCACCCATTCATTGGTTCTCTGACCTTAAACTCTTAACCTTAAGCCTCTGTTTTCTCATCAGTAAAATTGAAATAATAATAGTTCTTTTCACATAGGATTATTGTGAGGATGAAAACTGAAGCATCTAATCCAGGGTCAGACTCATAATAGGTCCTGAGTTAATATTAACATTCATTTTTGTTATTATAGTTAACATTAATTTGAACTTCATTCTTATTTATGGAAAATATAAATGCTCATAGAGAATAGTTCTGCTTTTTGCCCCTAGAAAATTCTACAGGCATTATACACGTATCTACTCCTATATCTACCCAGTACTCGTTAGTATTGTACAAAGGCCCACAAAGTATACAATGCATATATGAATATATACTTTTTTTTTAAGATTTTATTTATTTATTTGACAGAGAGGTAGAGAGCACAAGTAGAAGGAGTGGCAGGCAGAGGGAGTGGGAGAAGCAGGCTCTCTGCTGAGCACGGAGCCCGATGCGGGGCTTAATCCCAGGACCCTGAGATCATGACCTGAGCCAAAGGCAGACGCTTAACTGACTGAGCCACCCAGGCGCCCCTGAATATATACTTTTAAAATAAAAAGTGCCTTCCTTTATACACATTAACAAAATGCTTTTATTTATTTATTTATTTATTTATTTATTTATTTATTTATTTTTTTGAGAGAGAGAGAGAGAGAGCATGCATGGGTCGTGATAGAGGAGAGAGAGAGAGAGCGGATCTTAAGCAGGCTTCATGCCCAGTGCAGAGCCAAGCACATGGGCTTGATCTCACGACCTTGAGATCCTGATGTGAGCCAAAATCAAGAGTAGGACGCTTAACTGACTGAGCCACCCAGGCGCCCCCAAAATGCTTTTAGAGAAGAATGTAGTAGAATATTTAATATTCAGGCTGTATTTGGTACCTTCAATACCTGGCATAATCCATACCTAAAACAGGTGAAACGAGTTGATGAATCCTTACCCTTTTCTGTTCTGCCAGGCCTTGTCCTCTCAAGGGTATACATTTTTTTTTCTCTTCCCATGCCAGCACCATCTATTGGTAGTAGCTGCTTAGAGCCTTGTGTTGAGAAGGATTCTGCAGCTGAGTCTGACTGTTGTGAGAAAGAGTGCCCTGTTTGCCACTGTGGCTCATGGGCATAGACAGGATGCATGGCAGCAAGGGTCGTCCCGCAGTGATACTGGAGGGTTGAAATCAAGCCATCTCTGCTATCGTCTTTATATTATGTTACTGAGGAACTTTAGGCAAGTGAGGTTTGCCTCAGTTCTTGATCCATGAAATGGAGACAAAACTCACCTCCTGCTTCCTTTCCAGGGTTGTTTTGAGAGAAAGTTGAATGTTTTTACTGGCTAAAAGATGTTGAATCTATTTGGAGAAAGATCCTCTGTAAATTTAAGAAATTCTTAACAATTACAGATGAGCTTCCTTTGAACTCAGGCCAGTTCCAGAGCCAGAACTGAAAATGGTCTTGTTTCAAGAACCCTGACAGTCGGCGGATGAAATGGATCTCTTTGAAGAAGAGCAGAGCATCCTTCAGATACAGGGCCTTTATCTGTAGGAT